TTAATCAGGGAACATCTTACTTAGTCAAAACCTAAAAACCCCCATATAAATAAGAAGAAAATTACCTGAATATCTTGTTTTCAACAGCATCACTAATAACATACTCTCAAGTTCACTCATCCTATGCAATCATATTACAGTCACATAATCCAGTACAATTTGTAAATTACTGAGCTGGAGATTTTTAATGATTTGTCTTTATGACTACACACGTGCCCCTAGTTGACAAAAACTACAAAGAATGAACATACCCAGGTGGCCAAGTCGGTCAATGGCATCCTGACTTTCATCAGAAATAGCATGGCCCAGGACAGTGACTGTCCCCCTGTATTTGGCACTGGTGAGGTCTCACCTCAAGTCCTTTGTCCATTTCTGGGCCTCTCACTACAAGGAAGACATTGAGGTGCTTGAGCATGTTCAGAGAAGGACAACTGAGCTGGTGAAGGGTCTGGAGCACAAGTCCTGCGAGCAGGGGATGAGGGAGTTGGGGTTGTTTAGTTGGGAGAAATTGAGGCTCAAGGAGGACCCTCATCGCTCTTTACAAGTACCTGAAAGGAAGTTGTAGCCAGGTGGGGCTTGGCCTCTTCTCCCAAGTAACATGTGAAAGGACCAAAGGAAATGGCCTCAAATTGTACCAGAGGAGGTTTGGATTGGACATTAGAAAAAATTTCTTCACTGAAGCAGTGATTCGGTGTTGGAACGGGCTGCCCAGGGAAGTAGTGAAGTCACCACCCCTGGAAGTTTTCAGTTGATGTGTAGATGCAGCACTTAGGGACACGGTTTAGTGGTGAACTTGGTACTGCTGGGTTAACAGCTGGAACTCAATGATCTTAGAAGTCTTTTCCAACCTAAACAATTCTATGATTACATGAAAATTTGGAAGAGGTATTGCAGATGCTAAGCCTATTACTCTCATTACTGTGGCGTACACAGTATCTGTACAGAGGCAGAAATGTGAACTAGAGACTGGCTCTAAAAACCAGTATGTAAATACTTCCATTTATAAAATATGGTGGTGAAAATTAAAAATGTTGCAACCAATAGAATTTAGGTCAAAACAAATGTGCTGATTAAAAATCCAACTACAAAAAAGGGAAAGTATAATAGCAAACAGATACAGATGTAAGGATTTTCCTGAGTCAAAGCCAAATTCTTTTCAAGCAGGAGAACCTTAACGAAAGACTTATCATAATGAACTCTGCAGTAGTTTGAGCCACCAGCTTGATTCTGCACTTATTTCAACACTTAGAATTTTCACTTATGTCAAATGGATTTGGGTAAGAAAACAATGTAAAAGTGGACACAAAGGTCCACATTCAGTTTAAAACCTTTGCATTAAATTGTATTCAAAAGAAAAATAATTAAAGGGCATCTTTTCCTGAATGTGCTTTTTAAGTGAAAACCAACAGTTCTTTTTGAAGAGTTCTTTAACACAAAATATAAAGAACGATACTTTTGCTTTCAAATGTGAAGAAATATGCTAAGAAAAAGTTATCAAAAAAGACTTATCTGTTGCAAATATTCCAAGTTATTATTTAGTTTTCAACTGAAGAACTTCTACTGGAGTTTGAGGTTTCAAAAAAAGAGACAGTGTACTCTGCATCACTCTTGTAATCATTCTCTTAATACACTCAGCTATTTCCCTTAAAATGTACATACACTTGAACTCAATTTTAAATTTAGTGCAGTGAATACCTGGCAAATTCACTTCTCCAGTCCACAACAATCCAACTTATGCCACACCTTAAAACTTTTATTCTTTATAGGGAGAGTCCTCTCACCACCATCAGTACAAAGTTGATGGCATAAGATCTTATGATTCCAGAGTGTATTCTCAATGACCCCAAAGATTTTTTAACACTATGCTGATCTCACAGCTTACATCCTCAAACCTGAGTATTCGCTTATGATACAAAGCTTTACAGTCACACTTGTAACTTGATTACCTACTGACATTAGTAAAGATTTCAGAAGAGCATTACAAATCACTGGGGTACTAGGAGTGAGTGATTAGGTAAAAATAATGGTCTTTAAATATTTCACCAGGTTTTAATATAAGTAGTATTAAGTAAACATCAAAAAAAGATATTAGAGAAAACATAACACAGGTTTGAACTGTGGAAATCATTATAGAGAAGCTACTGCATGTTATAAGGTTGGCTACAGACTAGAATATAATTCAAACACATTAAATTCTGCAGTAAAACATTAAGCTGTTAATACACTAACAGTCTTCAATTACTGATTGCTCTTCCACCTTTCAGAGTGATATATTAACAATTATTTCCACTGCATCAGTAGATGCTCTGTCAATCATGTACCATAATTCAGCAGGTGGTATCGAAACCAGCATAACCAGCAGACATGATTTTATTGCAATACATTAAAGATCTATTTATGTCAAAACTCTCATGCAAAAAAAAAAGGAAGATATGGACAGCTTAAAAAAAAAAAATCTGATTTTTGTTCTGAATAGCTTTATGAATATGGAATAGTCAGAGCATAATTATTTCAACCACATCTGAATAGTTTTGATTCTACCTGCTTTTATGCTGTTTATGTTGTTGTCATATGAAATGACATTCATACAGCTGATAATGTCAGAATATAGGAAACTAGAGGCAGCAGGGGTGTAAGATCCACTGCCTGCTATAGAGTACACTCTGTCATAATCCATGCTGGAGCCTGAGTCAAACCATTCTTCTGCTATCAACAAACACTGGTGGAATAAGACAATATTTCTTCTCCTGTTGCTACTCACTCAGACTACATATCACCTTCCTACTACAGACAGCTAGCCTGTCAGTATGCACAGCAGAAGTCTGACTAAGAAAGCTAAGGATTTCATCAGTACATTGTCCATCAAGAAGGATCTGCTGTTGTAAAAATCCAGGCTATTACACAGAAAAAAACCCATTAATTTTAAAACCCCGAAAGCTAAGGTATTAGGATTTTAGAAATGTCAAATAAAGGTAGACTGGGAAACTTCAATTGTGCTACCTGCTGTTCATATCTCTTCACATCACACTATATACATATGCCAAATAAATGCATGTTTTCCTTCAGACTAATGAATCACTCAGTACTCAGGATGAACAAACCTCCAGGAAGCAGTTGTGGAGCACTAATGACTTATCCACAGTACATCAACCTTGTTTAGAGAAGGCAGAAGATGTTTAGTGAACGTGCTAGGGAATTACAGTAAGGAGGAGTATGCTGTCACGCATTAAAACATTACTCTTTAGGAACAACAGCAGAATCCGTTTCTATCACAGGGTTTCTACATGATGACAGGTACCTACGTATGTCATACACCACCTGCCAACCCCCAAGTTTCCCCAGAGGCTGAACAGAGGTACAAGACAGCCCTGTGACTTAAGTTAATCAAAATAATGCTTATGCACTTGTCCTGAAATTCTTGACCCATTTAAAATTGTTCTTGGAAAATACAGCACTTGGGAGTTCTGGCAGGTGTGGACAGAGTAGTTCACATTATACATTCTCAGTCTCCTTTTTTCAACAGTGTCTTTCAGAAGCAAATCACAGATATCCTTCAGCCCAACAGAACTGTTCCTGCATCCTGCTTCTTAACACCAACCTTCCCAAAAAGGTCTTGGTCAGTCAGACCCTCTGATGTCTGACTGGAAACATTTCCATCAAGTCAGAAGAAAAGGTCCTGATTAAAGAGAGCAGCTGGGAGAAGAGATGCTGCTATGAATACAGGGACAAATTGAAAATATCTGGATGCTTTTGAGAAAGTTAGGAGTGCCTCATTACTCAAATGGAAAACATCCTACAGAAGGTAGCAAGATCACTGGATACCTATTTCAGACTGCAACCAAAAATTTCAGTCAAATTATAGTTGTGCCTACCTTTATTTCCATGGTTTGTAGCTCAAGATATCTTATTTGGAGAAACACTGAAGACGCACAATTGTGATTTAACAATAGTTGAAGACAGTTAGAACAATAAGATGAAGAGGAGGTAATGGGATCCACAGTGACATTTTCATCTCAACACAGTGGTTGCTAAAGAATAAGTTGCTGTTACTCTTTGCAAATATTTAAAAGTAAAAAGCTGAGTAAGAAGGCAGACACACAGTTTAAAGGAAAGATGGATGTTGGCAAAATCAACTGACTCAAACCTTGTCTGCAGTGGAAGTTCTGGCCCTTCATTCTGACAGTTGTGATAGAGAAGAAAGAGATCTCTTACTATGTTCTCTGAATGTAGTAACATTGACCTTATGATAGGCTTCCACAGCAGCTGCTTGAAAGAGAGGTTGTTCCTGTGCTGTGAAAACCACTTATTTCAAATTATTCCATGTTGGTAGTTTGTCAAAAGTTGGTTTTTTTCTTTTCTTCCCTTCTCCTCTTAGTAAAGAAATAAATACTTTTTTCCCTGACTCACAAATGTACCCTGTAGTCTTACTTTGAAAGTATCTGGTCAAATTTGCGTTCATTGTAAACAATGAAGCAAAGTAATCATTGAAGCTTTCAGTTCAAGTCACCAGCATTTGCTTTCACTCCCTGTTAAGAAACGGTATATTTAGTTTGCTTTTCTGCTTCTACTTTCAAGACTACTGGTACAACTGAGACTGTTCATTGAAAAACACAGCATTTACATGTCATGAAATTCCACAGACTCATATAAAAGATTTTATTTGTTTATTCCCCAAGATAATAATATCTTAGATAGGGTCAAGAGTTTGTTACGCATCACAGCGTGTAAAAACCCAGAACATCTGCATTGCAGTCCATCTTTTACAATAACCTAAATCCTGCAAGGTCCTTCATAGGTATATATTGACTACTTGGAAAAGTGGCACATAAAACAACAGTATGTCCAACATCACCTTTCCAAAACATAATCCAACCACATGTAGAAACGGTGGACTTACAAACTCTAAGAAAGCAGGAAGATGGGAAAGTCAAAATAGTTACTAAGAAGATTTCAATAATTCATACTCTCACAAATACTGTCAACCTGGACTTTCATTTTACCTTGAGAAGGTATGTAGGAATATTGCTGAAATCAACAGGCAACTTCAAGAGAAAGCGAGCTGAGAATTCTCCAGTCTGTGGAAAAAAGGTAACACGAATGAGATCTGGTGGTTAAAACAGAACTACAAATGTTCTGATGAAAAATGAGTAAGAGCTCATACCAAACAGAAGGGTTGAGATTCAAAACAAAATTGCTGAATAGAATTACTGAAGAGGAAAAAAAAATATTACAGATTTCATAGGTGTTACATGACAAAACATCTTAAAAACCATAAAACATCATTGCCAGTAAGTCAACAGCAAAAAGTAGTTAGAACAAAACAATGTGCACGACAAAAATCAGACTATACTTTGTTCCACCCTAAATATAGATGTATCTTGGCTGTACTGATTTCCGGACAAAGGTCTGGTGGGACCTGCAAATGGTCTGAAAGCAAAGCTAAAATCCTGACAAATTTATAAGAGTATATAGATATAACAGAGGCACCTTTACAAACACTGCAGATATACATAATAGAATTTGTGTTGAGAAAGGTGAGAATGTATCAGGTGTCCTCTGAATAAACATAAAGAACTGAATTAGAAGGTTATAAACAATTTCAGAATTATGTAACTCTCAACACCTTGACAACTGTTTATCAAAAATTTGCCAAGTGTCCCCTACACGTTGCTCTTTTTTTATGTATAAAGTGTATGCAAAGGAAATGGAAAGGATTTCCTTTCTGTTTCATATACTTCCTTAAAACCAGACTTTGACCACCTGGTTATGAAGCAACGAAGTTGACTGTTTTTTAAAAACAAATGCCTGCCTGATTTCCTCCATATTAGTTTTTTGTTACCTTTATTTTTTGTTCAATAAAGCGGCCACACAGCAGCTATATTTGTTCAGTAGGCTGAATTGGTAGCAAAGAAAGTGTTAAACATTGATTTTATGCAGTTAAGTACAAAAAATTGGGAAAACTTGAGACAAGTTAGCAAAACTCTTTAACACTGCCCTATTTTTGACATATACATGCTACTTAGTTATATGTTGACATACAATTTTTAAAAAACAGCACTCCATTTTAACAAGCAAAGGGACAAATCAAAGCTCCATGAAAATTCAGCATTTGCTCTACCACAGTAACACATATACACTACTTTGCTATTTCCTGAACATACCTGTCTGCACCTAATTTTCATTTTAATATTTTAAATATTTTGCATAGCGAGAAGAAAAATACAGATGTCAGACAGATACCTTTTGGGTCACTGCCTTACTACATGTAGTAGATGCCATCACAAGAACACCACACAGCTATGAGGACAGCTTGCCAAAGGCTAAACTCCTTAAGAGGAAAGCATTCAAAGTGTCCTGTACTGGTACCAAAAACTTGACATATGCTTTTGCAAAACAGTCAGTACTCTTGCCTTCCCTGTTAATTAGCTGTGCTCATCCATCAACTGCTTTGAGCTCAGCATAACGGACAACATGAAGGTTGTCACTGGCCATATACTACCAGACCACAAGCCTCTGTAATGATGGACCACATCAAATGCTATTCATACTGATTCAGAAAGGAATTGGCCGAACAAAACCCTGAAGGAAATCAGCTTGTCGATGCAGAAGCCTTTCTGAGAAAGTACTGGAGGTCAAAGCCAATGGAAACTGCCTTTCCAAAATGAATAGTAAGCTGCTAAGCAGGGCAGCTGAGGAATATAAGTGATTGTTTGCTCAGCACATTATTTTCTGTGGTATTGACATGAAACAAAACTGAGAAGGAAAAAAATTCCTTCATTTATGTCATGACTAAATTAAGCAAAGATTTCACCCCAAGCAAGTAAGCATATATAGAGAGAGATGCTGTATTAGGCAGACATAGAATAAAAAATGTTAATGTCAGTGCCAATTTGTTTCTTGGTCTACCTACCAGGCATGAACTAGAGATAACTCATTCTACCTTCAAGTCACTAAACAAGAAAAAACAAGACCTGCAACACAATCGAAATCTTTCCAATGGTACCCTTTCAAGTTATATCATTTGCCATAAGGGTTTGTGTGATGCTGGACTGTAATCCACCCTGCTGCCAGCCAGCTCAGAACTGCCCTTAAAATTTGTCCCTCCTAGTCACACGAGACAGGCAAAGAAATCGCTCACAGAAACACTATGCAACAAGAAGTGAGTGTATATTAAATTTCAGCTCTGAAACCCTTCCTGATGATATCACTTGTGAGGACAGATGACAACTTTCTAATGCTAGATTACTTATTCATGCAGAAAAATCACTGACTTGTACACATAAAACATGAGGACTGCTATGGTGACAGTCAAGGTGCTTGCTTTTTGTTCAGAGTGAAATGGATATTATATACAGAGCTTCTCTTCTGGACTTACAAAAATGCCACACAACATTTCCCATAAAATCCAGAATTTTTTCTAGTAAAATACAGAGTCTGATGAACTGGGATAGTCACTGAACAGATGAATGGTCTCTAATAAAAGCATCAGCTGCTCCACAAAGCGGACTTTCAGTTTAGGTTTTTTATGCCATTTGATCAAGATTATTTTGTTAAGTATTACTTCCAAGAGTGTTCTGGCCAGACAGGGAGCAGGCCCTGTCCATGGTGCTCGCCTACCCATCCCCAAACAGATGGATCCAGACATCAGTCAAGAATGATGAATTTCTGGCTACAGCACTGAGAAATTAGGTATTTAATGTGCTCCTGCACCAACTGGTACTGTGCCAGCATGAAGTTACTAGGCTAAATAATAGTTTGCCTATTTGTCATAGATCTAGGAGATCACTTCAGGAAATTAGAGATAATGGAACAAAGGTATAAAAGCGAATTTCTGTTCCATTTTCGTACACAGTGCTAAATTCAGGCCTCCTCTCCCAAGTTGTTTTAACTCACACCTAAGATGATTGATTTTATAATACTTTTATTTCAGAAATCTGCTGAACTACTATCGATTCCTGATAGACAGCAACAACATGAATTTCAATGACTTCTAGGCAGAGGAGATAATGGGCAGTTTACCTCCTGCTTTTTGAAAAAACGCTCCTAATTTGCCAATCCTCAAGGCTAACAAAACAGTTGCAAAGGACAGGAAGGAGAACTACACAAGTTAGTTTCATAGTTTTGTTTTAGGACACTAATAAACAAGCCTCTGTCATGTAGATACCAGGTTCATAGAATCTCCAAACAGGACTCACAAGAATCTTATTGACAGAGAATGTAAACTTGGAAAACAAAGTATATGCTATGGAAACCTCCAAAATAGCTTTGCAATGATGAAAAGCATTTAACTCAAAAAGTATTTAAGATATATTTTACTGGTATACTTTTAACTAAGACAGTATTTCAAATTTAAAAAAAAAAGTTTTTTATTCAGTCACCAAAGATTCAAAAGGCTTGAGTAGATATGTCTTTCCTATGGAAAAAGGAGAAAAGCCCTAATTTTCTATCATCTTGAGGAGAATTTTTGCAGCTGGCAAAGTCTATGATAAAATCTCAGTACAGTTTAGAAAGCCTTCTGTACTTCAATAAACCACTCTAATAAAATTTAGAGATGTAACAATTTTTTTGTGATGTAAGCTACAGAGAATAAAATTTATGAACAAATTAATTTTAATGAAATATTATGATATATAAACATTAAAAAAAAATCTGAATTTCTCTGATGAAGAAAATTTTACTTGGGTTAAAATAAAAAAAGCTTAGATTACTTGTCTAAGAAAAGAAAAACAGATGCATGTAAGTAGTGTCAGTTGTAAAGAAAACATCCTTGCATCACCTGTAACTTAAGGATGATTAAAGTGATACAAAGCTGAATTCTAGGCCCTGCTAACAGGAGTGCTGAATTTTCATCAATTTTCAGACTGCATCTATTTCAGAAGATACTGCTTCTGAAGGCCAGTTTATCTCAAGAGTACGCCATTTCTGTAAGCAAGAGGGAAACACATTCATCATAACCACCATTAGATATTTCCTGACATATCTTACTCTAAACTTCCCATGATAAATATTTTACCAGTGGAAAAAACCCTGATTTTTCAAAGCTTACTCTGTGGCAGAGATCGATTAAAAAAACCCAAACAATTCACACACAAACCAAAATGTCTCCATTGCCAGTGGCCTCATTCTAGAAGGCTGAGATGGCATACACAGAGTGTTTCTATACAGCACAGCACATTTCCCATGCAAGGGATATAACTTCAGGAAACAGACATGCCATTTTATTGTCTGACTGTCTTATGAACGCATGGCCCTACAAAGTCACTGCTCTAGCACATCTTGCCTCTTTTTGCAGAAAATTAAGTTGGGTTAGTTTTTCCTCTCCAGTATGGGTTCCCAAAACTCCTCAGCTTAGACAAGTGCGAGAGAGATACTGTCAGCTGCAGCTACCAATTAAATCAACTCAATCATAATGTATCATTAGCACATCCTGACACATCCTACCCCCAAGCAGGCTGGTTGGCTGGCAGGGTGTCATACCAACACTGTTATTCTACCTTTCAAATCTTCAGAGCTAACTCAAACTTCCACATAACACTGTACAGGCTTTTCAACAGTTTCAAAGTTTTCATCTATAAATCAGACGAACAAACACCAGGTTCAAAAGCAGTGGCTCACCTGGAAATCTGGTTCAACCAAGGTAATGGAATCACAGCAACATACAAAACAGGGAGTATAGAAATCATTTGGAGTCAAATAGAAGTTTTCTCCATTGGAAATAGAAATAGAAATAGAAAGTAGAAATAGAAATAGAAAGTATGACAATCCACAATAAGAACTCAAGTTTTCCAAGGCAAGAGTTGTATTTGTTAAAAGCATTTTAGCTGAAATAATAGCTTACCCAGTTGTTTTTTTTGCCAGCATAGATTTCCATGTTTTCTCCATATTGAGGCTCTTCAAGTAACGTCTGATATTCAAACATGAGACGAGAGCTCTCACGTAATCGGCCACACTGAAATTGGTGATACTGCTGCACAAGCTCTTTCACAACAAGCAGGAGGCATTCAGGGTTTGAAGGATTCCAAGAAGCTAAATTCTGTTGAATTAGAAAAGAACGGAGATCAGAATTGTTGACAGCAACAGAAAGACAAGCAATCCCCCTTCTGTACTGATATGAGAGGCACATATGCACACGGGAGCTTTGTGACAAAGCTAAACCATAATATTAAATGGAAAGGTTCTACCATGTTTTAGAAGAAAACCAGGTGAAACAGCAAAAACTTAATGTCGAATAGGAGACCTACCATAAAACTGATAACAGGGCTACTACTAGGCATACACAGGTCTGAATTACCATTTTATTCTTTCCTAAAATTATACTGTTGCATCTGAGAACTTGAAAAATTTGAATTACGTGATGACTGATATGAAACATACAAGCATTAGGTAAGCACACTCTGCACAGTAACTAATTTAAAAAGCAGTCAACCAAGTGAATATGCCAAATTGACACCAACTATAGAAACTGCTCTGCTTCACTATTCAAACAGTGGCTGTAGTATTCACAGTGATGGACCAAACGGGTTCTCTTCTCTTGCCTCGACATTGTGATTTATTTCACCTTAACCGTCTCTTCACCAGAGTTACCTTGACTCATCCCCTTAACACAAATGCCATCCACACACACAAGTCTCTTCAATGTGCCTCGCGGAAATTTTTATTACAAGTTGACTGTCTTTCAAGAAACACAACTACCATAAATAAAAATGCTAATACAATTAAGATAACTGTCAGTAGCACAGTAGCAATGTTATCACTCAGTTTAACCGCTCTTAACATTGGCTTGGACCAGTCTTCTGTGCACAGTAAGTTTTATTCAGGAAAGTATTTGACGTTACAAATCATGCCTAACATGACCCATGCATGCCTACATCTAGTTGACCTAAAATGGACCTATGTGCAAGGCAGATGAGGACCCACCTATACCCTTTGCTCTTAGAGTATGAGACAGTATTGATGCAAAAGTACTTAGGTCCTCATACGCTTCATTCATGGTTCCTCAAGAGAGTCTTCTTGATGCAAGCTCAGAGTATGTTAATGCTGTCATGTGGCTTTTGGTCATTTTTGAGTATAAGCAAAATTAATCTGTATTTCATAGAATCACGGAATGGTTTGGGTTGGTAGGGACTTTAAAGATCATCTAGTTCAGGGGAGGGACGCATTCCATTAGACCATGTTTGCTCATCCAACCTGGCCTTCAACACTTCCAGGGATGGGGCATTCACAGCTTCTCTGGGCAACCTGTCCCAGTGTCTCATCACACTCACAGTAAAGAATTTCTTCCTTATACCTAATTTTAACTTACCCTATTTCAATGTAAAGTTGTTACTCCTTCTCCCACCACTCCATGCCCTTGTAAAAAGTCCCTCCCCAGGTATCTTGAAAGCCTCTTTAGGTACTGGAAGGCTGTATATGACACAGACATTTGACAACAAACTCATTCCAACAGGATTTTAAATTGCATGGATTGTACAGTGAACATTAAGAAACTCAGAACTGGCAAAGATGCCCGCATTTTACAATTAAGTGAAGATATAATATAATAGCTTCACATACAACTTCTTATCTGTATCTGTACTCAGCAGAGTTACAGACAGTATGTTACTTTTGTCCTGTAAGTTGCAGACATTTCATAAACAAATTATATGCATAATTTGCATTCTTCAACAAGGACAAAAAAAATCAATGGCCATGTTTTGCCTCTTCATTGAAAAAACTGCTTTGGTATGCAGCATTTTCTACAATGAAAGGGCAGAAAATATTTCTGTACTTTGAAGTAGATATCTTAAGTCTGCCTTCTATTCAAACATACAAAAAATGGCATTTCTTAAGCAAGGTTACATAAATGAATGAACATGGATAAAACCATATTCCCCACAATACACAAGCTATTTATATTTTGTGTAACACCAAAAGCAACAAATACAAGTGAATGGGTTGCACAGAGAAGTCGTCGAGTCTCTGCCTTTGCTATCCTTGAACCTCTGCCTTTAGAAGCTACCACAGTGCCACAGACCGGACATTTGACCACAGCTTGACACAAAAGTACTCTGCTCTTCCCCCTCCTAGACAGCGGGAAGACCTATAAAACAGGACTATTATCAGTGCCATATCTTAAAAGGTAAACTACATTCCAGAGTAACTGCTGAATGGGGAAGAAACTAACGTGTTTCATGTAAGTTCCTCAAATACATACTACAGAGTGACTGAAAGCCTTGTTCTGCCTTGTCTGTCATCTACAGCTGGTAAAAATTTATTCTCAACTTGAAACCATTTAAGCTTATCCGATTCTATAAAATCCTAGAGAAAATCTGTCAGGTAGACAGCATCTTCTAGGAAACACATTTTCTGTCATGCAGTCTGAAACCAGACTGAGTATAACCTTAAATTTCCTGTTCCCAAGCTGCTGTTCAAATAAAGCATTTCCAGAAAGCCAGAGGATGTAATATGCCAGTATGTATTGATATCAGCCAGACAAGTGGGAATAACCTTTCCTCCTAATGACATTGGTATAACACAATAGAAATGTTCTGTCAAAGGAAATGACCAACAATATTTTAATAGCTGACCTAAATGCAACTGAACCTTTTGTTTTTTAAATAACGTTATACTACCTAACAAAAAAAGAGCAAGAGGAAATCCATTGTCAGTTTTGCAGCACAGAGTTAGAGTAGTGCTCTCTTCAAAGAATTCAAGAACACTGCATCAAAACTGCTTATTTTGTATTGCCTTAAAGCTACAGGAATTAAAATGAATGATTTGACTGTAGGATCCTTACTAAACAGCTTTCATTCAGTAACTAAAGTTTCAAAGTACAAAGTGGTTATAAAAATAAATCACCTGGAGAAAAATTCAACTACACACCCCATATACAACATATTCTCACTGATGAAAGAGTAAACATACAATGGTTACACAAATTTTCTGTAACACGAGTTGTAGTTTATATAAATAATTTTTAGCTTTAGAATTTATTATTGTAGTGCTTGTTATTTGGCAATGGCCATTGTATTTCTACTCATTTTGCTAACTTTGCAGAAGGGTTGTTCTTTTCAGAAGACCTAAACTCATAAATTTTAACACAAACACCACTGAATACAATGCCATGTTTATGTATGAAATTTCTTTTTACATATCTTAGTGTACCTTATCTGCCCTAAGCATTAGGTTCATTCACTTGAAAATACTTTTAAACAATTTTACTGTGATCCAATTTCATCAGTATGTCAAAATATGTGCTACATTGTTCTCAGTTTCAAAGAGCACCTTCTTTAATCTTCCTTCTAGTTTTGAAATTAAAGTAAGCAACTACCTGTAATATATACGTTGAAACCTAAGGTAGAATTTTGATGTTTGTCAAGTTTATCCCTTTTAGAGTGTCTTCAGTGCTACAATTTCAGCATTATAAAGATTATTCCGAGAACACACAAGTATTTGTAACTTCAGTTGATGAGAGTAGTGCCCCTGCAACAGGAAGTTGACCTCCTTTTTTAAAGGTAAAGGATCTTCTAAATTAGACTTGGGAAATCGTTTTAATCAGCAAAATCTTAAACTAAAGGCTTTGGAGCAAAAACAGTAGTAGCCTGTGCACTTCATTTTTTGATTGTTTGCCTGAAGGCTGCATTCCAGCCCTAGCCAATCCAGCTTTTTAAGAGATTGTATTTAAAAATATTTAAAGCATAAGAACAGAGTGAGCTACTGGTGTTTGTGTTCTACAGCTTCAAGTTCTGCCACAAAACTCCCATCTTGTATGAGAATTAAGCTCTGAATGCAACTTCAAAATTATGAGGTTTAGTTGTTAGAACTTGAGAAAAACCTGGAAATACAACCACAGACAGATTGATTGTTGAAGCCAAGAAGGTATGAAAAACACAATTAAAGAAATAACCAGCAAATATGTATACAGAAAAAGACTTGTTTTCTGTGGCTTCTATCAAAATCTCCTTCTGCCTTGCTCACAAATTTATACTTTCACATCATTTTACCAAAATCACGTGCATGCTGAAAAGAGAGGTTTTTCTCTGAATTTGCCATAAAATTGTGATTTAAATGAATTTTATGTGGAAAATAATGAGCACAGGTACTGACAGACTGAGTTACATATTTTACTCAGTAAATCCTGCCTAATTTGAAATGAAATTTCTACAGACTTTCCAGAGAGTTAATCAAATATAACAATCACTAATGCACTTAAAATAAAGAAATCTAGACTTGGATACAATTCCTTTCCTTGTTTGACAATAGGTATCTTTAAGTGCACTCTGCAGTGCAAACTCACTAAGTTACTCAATAGTTAGCCAGCCAGACTGAAAACAGTCCACTGTACACCAATATACAAGTATGAATCAGTTCAAACTGTGCATCTGCAACTAGTTATGCATTCATGCTCATCTCATGTGAAGGCTTAATGCACATCTCAGATTGGTTATGACCATCTTTAACGTTACAATTCTTTCAGTGCATCCCTGAAGAACTTACCTGTCATTTCTAAAGACACAGATGGAGGCTCAATTAAACAATTCTTTACTGTCTAAACACTCCTTGTATGTATCCCCATGATCTCCACTAAAACTAGGAGCAAATTCATGTTTCAGATCTTAATTTCAACATTTTAATTTTTAATTTCAATCTTTACTTATGGCTTTTGGCTTGCCCATACTGCAACTTGTGCAACTTTTATTTTCTAAAAAGATCAATTGTTGCCTCATCTTAGGAGATATTGTGGACACAAAAGCCTGATAAATGTCATCTGTGAAAAGTGGCTAATCCCTATTTTTCCAATTAGGGAATGAATTCAAAATGATCACAGAATATGCTGAATTGGAAGGGACCCACAAGGATCATCGACTCCAACTCCTGGCCCTGCACAGGACCATCCCCAAGAGTCACACCATGTGCCTGAGAGTATCATTCAAACTCTTCTTGATCTCTGTCAGGCTTGATGCTCTGACCACTGCCCTGGGGAGTCTGCTCCAGTGCCCAACCACCCTCTAGGTGAAGAACCTTTTTCTAATATCCAACCTAAATAGGGATAAA